GCCATGCAGTGAAGATTTAGGGTTTCCCACTGCAAGCTCAGCCACAACTTTTGGACTTTTAGTTTTTGATAACAATCAATAGCTTATGGTGAATTTAATCAGACAGAATTGCTTTGAACACCTCCAGTTTGAGYCTTCATGTGTAAACTTAAACCAAGGGATCTTGCTATACTGGCAAGCCAAGGGATACCTGAGTGTATTCACAGYTATTTCATGCTCCTTTGCATCAGTTAAAAATGAGTTCTCTCCTTTTGGCACCATGGTTTGAAACTGCCTCTTTGATATCGGAATGGATTCATTTTTTTATCAGGCTACAAGGAACACACACAGCAACCTGGAAGGCTTCGTGTGGTGAATTAAACCAGCAGAGACTCATCACAACATCACTTGGAGGAGATCTCTCCCCTAAAAAGAAGAACAGAGCACACAGCAACTGCAGCTTTTCCTGTTTCGAGGTTTGCTTTCTGTCAGAATTTTGGAAACACTGGCCATACCATAACTGGCAAGTTAACTCGAAAGGGAACAAAGTATCTTTCATTAAAAGCAGCTCTCGGTTAGAAGGGAAATAAAACAYTTCCTGCATGTCCAGCTGAAAGCAAGGTGCCAAGATGCAGCTGTGGATAATGGAATAACCCAAAAGAATACATTTTTACTGTACTGAGACATTTGTCCCCCTTTGTCACTGCAGGAAATGTCAGAGGCAGGAGGGAATGGTGGAAGGAGGAAATCAGAATGTGAGCCATAGCGGGAACTGTCATCCGGCATCTCAGAGCACCCAGTATGGAGCTATTGGTGGTGAAAGAATTCACAATGTCCAGAAGGGACATTGCCAGGCCAGTAAAAAACCTCACTCATTGTGACAAACCCCACCATGTCCCACCTTCAGAGAACAGCCTCAAGGCATTCGAAGTTTCAGAGGATAAAAATGAAAGTGGGCAGTGAAGTCCCAGGATCCCACACTCCTACAGAAGGATTCCCTGTAGATCCTCAGCACTTTGCCATATTTCCAGGGAAGATTCCCTGGCCAGAAGAATATTTAGTTGCTTGGGTTTTTTAATAATTGGACACCATAAACAGCAAAATGTGACACAACAAAGAGATCCCAACCTTGGGCTAAGGGTGCAGCCTTGGAAACCAGGGGAATCATTGAGAGATTCAGATTCTCTGAGTTTCCATTCACAAATAAAGCCTTTTGTGCTTCACACTTCAGTTTTGCCTGGTCAGTTCACAGCCAGATGTCAGTGGTTTAAAGTTTTACAATGAAGGAGAGAGGCAATCCGTTTCTTAACAGTTTTAGGACTCAATTTCATCAATTGCTTAAAATTAAAGTTAATTTCATGGCCTCAGACTGTACTAACTCTCAYTTTGAGTTAAAGTCTGAATATTCAACTCATCCATGGGTGGAAGGGAACAGAGGCAGAACTGGTTCTCGCTGATAATGAGATTAAGTTGACATCAGAATCCCAATCCTTTAATTAGCACTAGTTCACTGCAGGCAAACACAGCCAGACAYAGAACAGCCATGCATTTACTCAAACCCAACAAATTCACGAGTGCTTTTTTCCTCTTTGCACCCCAGCTAATTTTTCAAGACTGCCCAATGCAAATCTGCCCCAATGTGTAAAAATTACTAACAGCAGCTGTAAATTCACCACAATTCTGTTTCCATTCTGCTTCCATCTCAGCAGAAACAAGTTCTGTTCTGCCAAGTATTTTTTTTTTCCATGCATGAAACCTCCCTTTATGGGTTTCCTCCCTTAAGTCCAGGAGGAAACRTTCCTGTAAGAGGGCCTGCCACATGCATGGTGTTTTCTTTGAGGAGGGTGCCACTGCCTCAGCTGAGYCTCCTGAAGCTCCAGAGCAGATCACAGAGCTGCACATGGACAGATCTACAGTACAAATCACCAAAACCTGTGCTGGAATGGCTGCAACATCACACCACAAGACTGAAGTGTTTAAACTGAAAGATTGTGGGACAGTGACACATCAAGCTTTAAACCACTCAATCAAAAGCAGTATCCAGAAAACTGCAATCACTTTGAGGGATTTTACAAACACTGGCAAACAATTGTCCCTCCCACTCATCTGTTTGTGTAAGCTAAAAAATACAACAGCAATGAGGGAAGCTGGAGAGGAGGAGAATCAGAACTCATWGGCTGATTGTACTACAGATTCCTTYAAATTCACACTGCTCTATGTTGTTACAAATTGTCAGCACCCCCAGAGTCCCCTTCAGTTTTCTCTGAAACRTGTTTGTTGGGAAGTTTTAATGTCCAAAGTGTGCATCTCTCATTACCACCGCATTGCACAGCAATCCTTCAAAATAATCACAACCATTTCCTACAGAATATGGAAAATATCTGCAGAATATGGAAAATACCTTTTTTCAAGATTAAGAATCTAAATCTTAAGAATTAACAGTGACATTTACACAGACGGCAGAAAAGTTTCTCATTTACTATCAACATTTTGAAATAAATTTTCAATTTCTCCCCCAGAAATGCATAGAAAAAGGCTTTCATTTTGGTAAAGAAACACAAAGCTGAACATGCTTTTCTTGATTTTACATTTTAGTTTCTTTTCATCCATAATTTGTAGGATGAACAAAAATATATAAAAATCAGGATAGAATTGTTAAGCATAGAAGGAGAAAAAAAGATCACAAGACATAAGTGGAATATGATAGGTTTAGGGCACAAAGCCATTTTTAAAAGTCAGGTTTAACTGGCTATAATGCTKTTCTGAGGCAATTGCTCTAAAGCTAATGTTAGGAAAGTTGACTTTGTAGATTTTTCAGCAAAAACTATGATGAGGAAAAGGACTGAAAAATGTTACTGTGAATCAATGAGGATGACATGCCTCTTAAAGAATCATCACATACAAAATAAAAATTTCTTCTCTGTCCAAGTCAMACACCAGTGTTGCACATATTTAACCTAAAACCCAGTCACCTGCTCTTTTTGCAGTAAGAAAGATACAGATATAGAGAAAGTATAGGTCKAGGAACAGAATTTTATTTGATTCCAGAAAGCATCATGCAACAAAATCTTTTCTTAATGATCCTTGCCCAGCTTTGAGATGAAAGATTAGCATTTACAAAGTAAAAAGATGCAAAAGCAAGGTTAGCACCATAGGAGGAATACTCTTCACAACTCATTTGATAGACAGTGATAAAAGAAAACAGAGGAAAGAAAAAAAAAAAAAAAAAGCTAGGTGACCTTGCATTTTTATTTTCAGCATCCTAGATACTTAAATCCAAACATCGAGATACCATGGATGTCCTAGCATATCTAACAATTCATGTTCAGCAAAACTTGCTCTGTACATTGCCAAGTATTTAAGAGTCAAAAGGTAATTGTCACAAAGTACCAGCTAATATGCAAGTAAAAACTGTACAAGCCCACAAAGAGAAAGGAAACAAGAGAAACCGAGGTGAGGAGTTTGTCCCTCTTCCAGTCTTTTGCATGAATTGCTGCAAAGATCAGAAAAATAGAAGGGATGTGTASTGGATCTGGCTGGGATGGAACAAATATCCTGATATTATCCTGTAAAACCTGAGCTTCACGTGCCAATTACCCAGATGTTCTTAATCWAAACTCTCTTATTTCTTACCTGCAAGCAACTACACAATTGCACCAGATTTCAAATGTTTGTTTTCCTTACTTTTGTATTAATTTTCAAAATTTGCTTTRTGTGGCTCTTAGTGTAAGTGAACTGTAAAACTGTAGTGAACAGTTTTACAAACCCTCCAATCTTTCCCAAGCAGAAGTTCTAATACAGGATCTAGGAGTTTTAAATGCCACATTATTATTATTATTATTATCAGCTGTCTTCTTAAGGCAATAGAATAATTCCTTCCAAGTATCAAAATTTTGCATCACAAATTGATGCTAAAATTTTCTTCGCAAGCATCTATAATCACAACACATGTAAAATTATTAAAATTTTATTAAATCATTAACCTGACTCATTTATTAGACAAAGGGTTTGAACTACAATTATGAGGAAGAGGCAGCTTTGTGTCAGTTTGGAAATAGATCTTCTGATTACTCCCACCTTCCAAGGTCACATGTATGGACTCTTAACAGCAACATTGAAGCAGCCTGTTAAAACAATCATTTTGTGTCCAAATCRTAGGAAAACCATTTAATCCCAAAGCAGAGTGTGGTGTAACCCAAACCAGCTGTATTTTTCAGACTAATAACCATCAGCACTTGAACCTCTTTTGCAGTGAACACTGTTTTAATGTTAAATAACCCAGAGGAGCCTTCACTGCATCACCACCAGGAGAGGAAGGAGACTCCGAACTTTTCTTTATCTTTCTTTTATTTATGCTTGGGCTTCCAGCACTGCACATCAGATAGCCAGGCTCTTTGTCTGTCCTATATCAGACGGCAAAAATACAACGCGCTTTCCCCGCTGTCCTCGCATCAACAAACCAAACAGCCACGTCCCACAAACCCTTCACGTGAGCAGCTCCTTCCCCCTACAAAAGCATCTCTCCTCTTGAGGATTTCAGCTAATGCTTCTGGCTTATCAAAGATTAAGTGCAATCAGTTACACTGAAGATTTATAATGCGGCCCTTGATTGTATCTTCTGTGCACGCATTTTTACATCAGGCACACRAGTTATATAAAATAGCTTGGAGTACAAAAATATGGTTATAACATAGGAGTACCAAACAGCACAGAATTAGAACAGTTTTATTACCATAATACCAATTTATATACAGACCCCCAAATTAAGGATTTTTTTTTTTTCTTTTTTAAATTCTAAGCATTCTTCCCAAATTGACAACTGTAGTGTACACTCTAAAAACTGCAAATTAACAACACGGATCTATTTTAACCCCTACATTGTCTATGCAGTCTGCACCAATCCTCTCTCCTCCACACAAAAGTGTATTATAAATAATTCTCACAAAATGTCACGTATGTTTTATTGCACATTGTACATGCCAATATTTAAAAGAAAGGCTCAAACCTTTCACTTGATAACTGTTTAAATAACTAGCATTTACTTGTGTTATGAATACTATTGCTTTCTTCAGGCTCTAACCTTAACTGATAATTTAAAAGAMAGAAAGCAGAACAGAAAATACGCCTTGAACTTTATAGCTTTCATGAAAAAAAAAAAAAAAGACAAAGTGTCTTTAATTTTGCTGATTTCTACTTTATAAAGTCATTAAAAACATCWGACCTAATTAAAAACTCCGCTTCGAAATTTCCGCACGTTTTAATACGAAATTACGCATGTAGCTGCTTGTGTAATCACATATTCCTTCTATTCTGCAGAGTTAGATGTTTCTGTGCTGTGCTGATGGGAGGGTTGAGTTACACAGGTCCTAGTGTGAGCTACAGGAGTTGTTGTATCAGTCTTTGATGGGATCCACAGGGGCAGGACGTGAGGAACCTGCCAGACACCTGGACAGGTCGGGATAAAAACGCCACCCGGCATCAAGGCCACGGATAATTCCTGTGAAGATGATCTCTAGGCTAAAGAATAYGAGTAATTGATCATTAATATGTGGGTTTATGATACGTTGCACTAAAATACGGCTGCTAAACGAAGAGAATGATTCGGTGTGTGACAGATATGTGCCAGCTGGTAAAAATGCATCACCGGATAAAAATCTGCGCTTCGAGGGTTAAGACTCTGGCATGAACAAAAAAGGTTTCAAAGTCGATTGATCAAGTGTTTTGCCAAGGGTTTCTAAAGCTATTAGCCATCAACAGCTCCAGAAAGGGATGAAAATAGCAAAACCAAGCAACTAAAATTGCACTATTACAAAGAAACAAGTCCATGAAAGGAGAGTCATCAGCTGCAGTTAAGGGACGGCCACTTCCAGAAGCCGATTGTTTTTTCGCTTGCAAGTTGGGATGTTGCCGTTCTTCTGGCTGCCTTGTATGAACTTCACACACACTTTGTCTTGTTTGAACTGGACCAGGAACCTGAGAGAGGGAACAGTAAAAATTGTAGTTAAGGTTGGGGGAAAAAAAAAGGACACATGAGAAGCAGAAGTCTTTTCCTGTTGGTTCTGAGCGTCACTCCAAAAGATGTCATTTTCAGCTTTCAGTTCTGTATTAATAATAAAGAGTTGGAGAATAAATTAAAAAAGCCATGGGTTATGGTATGGCTAGAATATCCTTCAGGCAGTATCTCTTAATTATTGCTTTTTGCCTATAACTGTGGACATTTCACAGCTGTTAGTTTGCTCTTCCTTTAGGAAAAAAAAAAAAAAAAAGCAGTTTGAAACAGAATTTCTAATGTACCAGAAACGCAGCAAAGACTCTTTCCAACTACTCCACTGTCGGCCAAAGGGATTTCTCTATTTTCATGGAAGGAAGCTCAGTACTTCCATAGCAACATCAGGAGCGCTCTTCTTCTGGTTTATGCTTAATTTAGTACATCTGGTATTTTAGCAGCTCTCATATGTCTAATCCTTAGTTAGCCTTTAGAGCCCCCAGCTCAGCAACTGGGAAAATTCACTTCCTGCCCAGCAATCTCCAAATTTAGACATTTTCTACAGTTGAGGGGAAATTAATCTGAATTTTACTCTTCACTTTTTACTGGAAGGGAAATTTTACTGAATATGGAGAATTGCTTAAAAAAAAAAAAAAAAAAAAAAAAGAAAGACAACAAAAAGCCAACAGGCTCCTGTGGAGCCCCAAACCTCTCACTGATCTGGACAGCAAGATTAAAAGCAATAAGCAAGGCAGTGCTGCCTCTCGGCTCACATGCAGTGGTTGCTGACCTAAAAAGTCCTTTGTAATTCAGCCGATTTTCCCTTTTAGCATCCTTAAAAAAGTCCTCCAGCAGAGGCCAAAAACTTCAAAGAATTTGCTGTGCAGCCGGAAACCACAAATCAAGCTGACGGCAGAGCTCAGGGGAGGAAGTGGCCTCTGCTGTGCTGAGCTGCCCCTCGGTCCTGCTTTGCTGCTGCACAGCCCAGACACTCAGAGCCCACTCAGCACTCCCAGACGTGCAGGCACCCCAAAAACGAGAGCAGCTCCTACAGCCACTGCCTCAAAATTATCCTACATCCACTGTTCCAGTATTATACACATAAATGTTGTGCCTCTTCTTAAACACACCCCTGCATCAACAGCGTTCTTATAGCAGCTCTTCTCCCAAAAAGTAGAAGGAAGAAAAAMGAAAAATAAGGCCACATTTTCTCCTCCATCCCTTGCGTCTAAAATCTAGCAGGCAAGAGGCTTCTGCTTCGCCATCAACAGAGACGGGACTGCGAAACATTTAAACATTTAAATTATTTCGTCTGGATAAACTCAATAGCAATACACACATGAATGTTTTTAATCTGCAGGACAAGAAACAAAACCACATCCCAAAAAGCAAGGCTCCCAGAAAGCAGGCTGTTTTCCAGACCTAAGGCAAGCAGACAGTCCAGACTAGYGCAATGTATGCTTAAACTTTGCTTCAGTAGTTTATTCCTTTGTAGCCCCCATTAAACTAGAAACTTACTGGGGATAGCCACACTCTTTCAGAGACTAAAAACCACAACCCTCAAGCAAATGAAACGGCCTCTGGTAACAGAAAAAAAGGAAAATGGCAGATGTTCTTTTCAAGGAAAGAGCAAAATTAGCCTTTTAATAAATCCTCAAACCTGAACAGATACAAGCTGTACCCACTACCAGGACTGTAGAACACATGCAGTGTGGTGCAGCCAGATGAAAAGGTTCTGGTTTTTGCCTACAGGAAATTTATTTCACTACTGTTAAAGAGTTCAAAATTTTATTCTTTGTCCAAAGTGAATAAATCCACCAAATCAACACTACTGGAAAGAGGGGCCACTTCACAGAACAAAAGCAYATRACARTGGTAGACWAAGTGAGGGACTCTYACTCAGCAAACTTTAGGWGCTCACACACACCCACAAACACTTKTATTCCATAGCTAAAAACACCAGAAGTACAGGCCTTGTTTAAGGCCAAAATATGAAACTGTACTGAGCAGAAAGAAATACTATTTTGAGATGCAAACTTTTCATCAAACAAAGCTTTTTAACAACCAAGAAACCCCAAACAATAGGTTGTTTCACCTTCACAAAAGAGAAGGTAGAGTTTCATACAGTTGCACTGAGTTGGGGAGGAGCTTTGCATTCTTTTTGGGTTATTTTCAGTAGAACTTGGCACCTAGTGTCCACTCTAATCTATAAATATCTCATAGAAATCKGTGAATTTTTTCAGTCACATGTGAAACAGTTTCAAATATAGCAACTCTTAATTATTTCTACAGCAGCAATTCTGCTTCACAGCCCTATTTGAAACTCCTTTAACAAAAGMACATTTTCTGCTATGACTTTCAAGGATGTAAAAGCCAGAATGAACACCATGAGTGCACACTGAAAACTGGATCCTTCTTTATAAGCATTCTGCCAAGAGAAAAGAAACAGTGTTTTGTTATTCTGACACTAGATACTTGACTTTTTAGCAYGCTGCATTGAAGCAAATGTCCTCTTAAGAGAACAAGAAACATACTCATCAGATATCTCGATGTTGAGCTTCTGTTTGGTTTGGCTGAGAGTYGTGCGGTAAAGTTTAGTGGCCATTTCAATAAGGTGATCGCTGCTGAGCAGGAAATCTCCTTTACTGGCRGCTTCTGAGCCCTGAAACAGGAAGGAAAGGAGTTAGGACTACCAAAACCTCGAGTATGATTAAATGGCAGCCAGGCAGSAGGATTTACAAGGAGCCTTCTCTTTCCAGTTCAAGGAAACAACAACCTTTTGTCTCATAAATTAAATAGGGGATGGAGTGCAGTGTATAGGATCAAAAAGCAATTTGCTCCCAAATAACCTACAAACCAGTTGAGAAAGGTAAAAAAAATCCCTTCTGGGTCATTTTGATTCGTCCTACAAAAATGTGGTGTTTCTGTATCCCTCATCTGGATACACCACAGCAAGCTTCCAGTAGTTGCAGAAAGGAACAGAAACAAATTGCCGACACCAGACTTAGGATGGTGGCAGTGAGTATGAAAAGACTCTGCCTMCAACAGTCTCCAAATCCATTCAGGCTGGAATGGAGATGCCAGCTTAATGATTTTAGCAGAGCAATGGTTACAGTGCAGYGAGGCAAATATAGCACTGTGCTAAGTTCTTTAGAACTGAGCAACAAATTAACTGTGCCTCAACGTGGACTTCTTGGCATCCCACAAGGAAGAGAGAAATATTCTACCAGTCTGTGGAAGGAAAACACTGCCACAAGGCACCTGAACCATATTACAAATGGAAAACTGCGATCCTGAAGAGGCTACAATGAAATATGAAGTCTGATTTGCACAGTTAAAAGATCATTCAGATCATTGGGCTTCAGTAGCTTTAAATTCAAAGTTTTTTCAGACATGGCAAAGTTCAATAAACTTCTRAACCTATGAGCCAACCACTATGATTTAATGCTACAAGATAATTAACAAACAGGTTTTACATMACTGTGGGTAAAACAGTCATATTATTGTGTGATGGAGTTGAAACCAACCTCCTTGAGGTGCACTGCAAAGAATCCATCATTTTGGGAGCTCATGGACACTTTGGTAACATCTCCCAGTGGCACCTCCGACTTGATAGTCCCAGATTTTTGATCCGCAAGAAGAACATTGTTTTTGGTTAATAAGAAAATCCTGGATGCAGCCTGTGAACACAAAAAAAATGCAGATCATTGTCTACATGAAGAAAGAACTGGTTTTCACTGAGCACCTATTCAGACTCCAAGGAGTTCATAGAGTTAAAAAGCTTGGCCCACATTAGCAATTGTGAACATTTGATGTTCAATAAAAGCTGTAGATCAGTTGAAATCAGGTCAGATTTCTTTATGTGTCTAATTATAGATTGAGAAGCTTAGCTCATTTTGGCACATATGCTTAGGTATAAACAGTTCCTTTAATTACTAGCTTACAGCTGTAAAATTTAGAAAGTGAAACYCTGAAACTATGCAAATCAGGATAACCTCATTTCTCATGCTCTTTAAATCTCCAGGAAAATCATCACATACTGAATCTCTATATTGACCRTTATTCACCAAAACTATGATGCAGAGCAACACAAATCACATAAGTGTTTTCAGAGTTATATTCTCCCTTTATTTACTGGAATTCCCCTTTAGGAGGATATGCACTCATATTTTCAAAAAGACAAATATTTTTAAAGCATGAAATATGTGTTCTTAAATTTGTCTTAGAAAATACCAAGAAAGAGAAATGAAAACTTMATCCACATCAGCTTTTTCTGCTGTAAACTTTTAATTAATAAAGTCTTTATTAGAATTAAGAAATAGCTGTCTCAAGCACATAGAACTCATTATTATTTTTTTTTTTTTAATCTTGAGAGCTGTAGCCTATGCAAGTGCAGGAAAGATATTGTCTTCATTTAATTAGTTTCTTCTAAACCAGAAAATTAACTTGGCATCAACAACAAGCAACCTAATTTCACTCCTACAAATACATAAATGACAACTACATCTGAGAAGTTGAGAKCTACTACTTCTAATATTTAGACAGATATGGTGAAAGCAATTAAGTTTACTAAGGTAGAACAAAACTTCCTGTTTTAATAAGTATAATTTAAATGCAAAATGTGTTCTATGTTGGCAGAATAAAAACGTACCCACCATATTTAACAACTTTATTCAAATGATACAAGAAATTTGCCTCTTTGTTCCAATGAGCTTTTGAAGACAGGCAAAGGTAGCAGAGTATGCCACTCATCATTTTAAAAGATAACAAAATGTGATCATCAAGTCACACTTGACTGACAGTGTGAACTTTGAAAAGTTTCCTAAATACTTCAATAACCACAATACTCTCTAAATRTTTATTTCTTTAATTAGCAAATAGAAGATCTTTGAGTACAGAGACTGTGTTTWGTTGGGACACAAATCAGTCTGTTACCAGGTGATGAGATACCGTTTTTTTTTGAAAACTACAAAAAAAGATTTTTGTAAGCTTTATGTAAATTTAAAAGCAGTGTTTAAAATCACCAGATTACATAAAACCAACATATATTTTTTWAAAAAATCCTCAGACTATTCCATGACAGAAACAAAATCACCACATCAATGTATTGATAACAAAAATTATCCACTCTTCTGGATAAATCAATTCCATTTTATTACCTTCCCATTGGCTCTATTGATCTTATTCACCACTTCTGCAATAATGATCTTTTCATCCACRGCATCTTTGAGTTTTTTGTACTTGGGGTTCTCGCTGATCTCCAGGTAAGCCCCCTGGAACGGCTGCCCCACACTGCCCAAAAAAAAGGCAAAGGAAACACAAATTAAATACAAACCTCAGGCAGAACCTGACATCATCCCAGGYTTCATGAGGAGATGCACCAAATACAATTTTCAGTGATTCTATACAGCCAGAGACTCCCTTCAGCTTTGACACACCCTCTTCTGGGGAAAGTAATTTGCTGCTTCATTTTTAGTGAGGGAATTGTCTTAACAAAACCAAAACCTCTAYGCTCAATGTCCAACTTTTGCCCCTGTTCACTTGAAATGGCAGTGCTGGCATCAATCTGTGTCATGCCTTTGGAATTGTATCTGTGGTGCTCAGAGAGATGGGAAAGAAGAGGAAGGGTACTGGAATTTTAGTACTCACAAGTCTCCCTCTCTTCTTAAATAATTACATGATACACAGAGAATTAGCCCCATCCTTTCAACCATTATCATACTAATTAATCACAAACTTTATACAGTAATTTTCTCTACCCTTACGCTGATTTAAAAAACCCAACAAAATAACAGTAAGAGCTATTCAGCTCTGAATATCAGACAAAAAGAYATGGAAATGTTTCTAAATGAATGCAGGGTGGGGAAAGCGTTCCAACTTTCCACTGTGCTGGAGCTTTGGGATTTTTTTTGTTTTTTATTAATTAGCCTTATGAAACCATAGCCATCAAAACAGCAGATTCCCTGTGGACTTTATCCCTGAACAAATGATGACAAGTTATAACTAAAACCGAAAGGAATCAACAGTTCCTCTCTATCACATACACCACTTCAGAATGTCTTGGATAAAAGGGACTCATATACACATAAATTTATATATATATATTTTTTTTTTTCTGTATATGCTTTCATTGTTCAGTCTTGGTGTAAAAAGTACCAAACCAGGGATATAAACAGAATTCCTTCCTTCCCAAGGAGTTCTATGCTGATCAGATATATACTTTATTAAAAAAAAAAAAAAAAAAAAAAGCCCTGCTTGCTCCTAGGAAAGTCCAAAGGCACCAGCTTTCCCTTTTCCAGCACCACAAAAAAAACATCCCAAAGCAAATAGGGAACAAACCACAGGCTAGCAGATATAGCCTTTAAATAAGTGATCTAATGAGGGGAAAAAAAGRGAAACATACACTGAGCCCATTACAGGAAAACAGGAAATGGCTCAATAAAAAAAATGACACAAAACAAAACCAAAGAAACACACAAACAACATGCAGAGCTTGTCCATGCATGGAACTSTTCTCATAAACTCTTGCAGATTCCTGTTCCTCCCTCTTGTGAACCTTGCTTCTCTTTTGCTTGTTCCTGCTCAGCTCAAACTATGGCTTCWAGGAGAAAACTCTCTCAAGATGGACAAGATGTTTATTTTCAAGAAAAAATACGATTTATAAGCTCATATTCACTTAAAAAGTGTAAACCAACTTATTTCAAGGACATCATATCTCTCTTTTATCAGTTTTATTGCATACCAAAAGAAGTGTATTCCTTAAATAAAATCAGATACTRCTGTACCTTCTTGAGTAAGGCTATCTCTGTAGATAAAAATGACAAGAATTTATCCATTTTATGGAACTGAGTAATCTGAGAAACCAATAAACTTACTTGCAGAGATTTCACATTATTAAAAAAAATTCTAAAATGGAAATAGAACTTTTCAAAAAAATATATTTTTGCAAAAAGACAGGCACCAGAGTATCTAAAATGAGCTGGTGCTCACCTTAGAGCACTGTGGTGAAGGTGCTGGGTTTGAACACAGGAGAGCTCCCCAGCACAGCTCATCTGGGAGCTGATCTGCAGCTCACTCCACCTTTAGCACTGCCCCATGGAAAGGAGGGGAAAGGGTGGGAGCTGTTCCCTTCTGTGAGTTCCCCAAACTCCTGGGAGTGGGTCACGAGGGGTTAGAACAACCAGCCATCATGGATTATGGACAGAAGAGCTCCATGTCACAGATCAGTGGCTGCAACATCTCAGTTTGCTTCCAACTAAGGTCAATTTTCAGGATGGCAATGTCAAATGATGGAGGGATGTTGTCTAACACAAAAAAACACACTTCCTTGCTTAAGATAAAAAGCAAAATCTTATTTAGTTTCCTAAATCTATGTAAGAATTTCTTGTCCACTAAAGGCAGCAGAATCAGTGATTACCTGGCTGGATATAAAGCCTTCTTGTCCTTGAAAAGTTCACTTGCTTCCAGTTTCTCTTCATATATAAGCTTCTGCTGATCTGTGAACTGATCTCTGTACTTTTTACACTGYAAAACAGGATACATTAAACAAACTATAAAATTATCTTTCCCAATCTCCCAGCAGCACAGACTCATGTTTGCTCATTGCTCAAGATGCACATTCTTTGTATGCTTCTGAAGTGACTCAGCTCCATCCTACGTGCCACTGTAACAAACAGCAGAGGTGGTTTTCTCCTCATCCATTCTGGACACTTTTGAATTACACCAGAAATAATATATAAAACACCTCATGTGAGCACATTGCATTAGAACACGGGCTTAATCTATGAGATACCAGTCACTGGAAAACTGAGCTAAAAAGGTTGACAGAAACATAAATGCAGTCCCACCATTTTGGAARTTTATATAGGCAGGGAGAAAGAAAAAAAAGCACAGCTGAGAGGGTGAATTTTGCAGGCTTAGAAAGAAAAAAACATTCCTTGACAATTCACAGAAAACACAGCCCACAAGATCAGTAAAACATCCCATCAGCACTCATAGGGATTCTTGTCTTTCTCTCCATCCCAAGATCCAAAACAAATTTCAGCTAACCACAGCTCACAAGTAAAAAATTCCACCCAGCATTTCCAGTGTTGGTCTAAGTCCTGGCCAYGGACACAAGTATTACAAGCTATTAATTAACAGGCTGATGGCAGGAAGCAAATCTCTCTCTCTAGCCCCAGAAAGGAGTAGCCAGAATAGTTATATCCCTTGCAGGCCAAAGGCAATGATCAAAAACCAYGCTTCTTCCAAAGAAATAAAATTGTCCTGGCTGGAATCGAAGGAAACACATCCTAAAAATACACCCTTTGTGAACAAAATTGTTGCAAATCAGAAGTTCTGCACAGACTGGACCAGAATGTGTCCTACCCTCCACAAATGGAAAATCCTCTTTAGTTCCTTGTGAGTTGAATCCAAGAAAAGGTAAGGCCTTGCTGGCCAGTTTTTATCTATTGGTGATAAAGAAGGCATCTTATTCTTCATTTCCAAGAAGTATTTTTGCATCTGTGATAAAATTGAAGCAAGATGTTTCATTAATGTTCAAACATCAGGGTTATTGAAATACACAAGGAAAGGCAGATGCGCTGTGATTAAACTGCAACTCTCAGAATATGGATTTTAAAGCCAGTTATATTGAGAAATGCAGATTTAGGTACCATAGCAATGTGGCAAATACTTTGTACCATTTCTACACCTGCAAACGCCATTACTATTCTTTCTTTACAATATCAGAGTATTATTTTTTCTTTTATTCCCATGCTTAGCTTGGACATTTCCTTACAAAGACTATCAAGGCCAGAATAAATATTTTTATATTTGATCAAAAATAAAAGCTTAAACCACAGAAAATGTACATGTGCTTTGTATGGATATATACATACAAGTCTCTGAAGGGTAAATTCATAAATTTTTCGTCCAGCATTGGCTCTGAAGAATTTTCTGTATTCTCTACGGACCTGGAAAGTTAAACAAACCCTCAAAATGAATATAAAGAATGAATTTGTTTGCACAGGTACTGTTTTTATAAAGCTCCATGATAGAAAATATTAAAACAAGCATACATACATGCAAAGGGTTCCCTGAAACAAGAGCATCACCTGGCCACACTTAAAATATGAAACAGAGCAAGATGTCTGAAAGATACCTCAGCTGACCGAGTGCAATTATTTGCAAACTTAATAAGGAATTTGAAACACTTCCCTCCAAAAAGGCTAGTGATTCAAATATTGTCAAATTCACATCATGAATCTATTTTCAATACGCTTTTGCGTAAAGCTGAACTGCAAAAAGTGAGGCATCACCTGTGACACAACTTTCTTGTGTCTGAAGCGACTCTGATTTCATGTTAATTACAGAGTTAACTGGTGAAATTTTCAGATTTTTCTCTATTAATATTTTTAACACAGAGAATTTTCAATAACAAAAATGGGTTAGGTTTTTTTTTCAGAGCAGACTTCTGCATCAAAAATATTTTTTCACACAAGTAGTCTTCATTACAAAAGAAAAAAAATAAGATTTTGGTGCTGGGTAAGAGCAGAGAATGCACACAAAGGTTGTTTAATGTCAGCAAGCTTGACATTTGCTCCCAAAATTTATTTTAAAACCAATAAAAATAATTTTAGAAGAAAATKTAAAGTGATCATTTAAATTTTTACGGGTGAGATTAATTTTTAATACAYAGCTGGCAGTGCAACTTTCAGAGCACTTGTTTTGCCTTTTGTATTTCTATGGGTGGTAATTAGCACAGATCAAAATTCAGAAAAGGCAATCAAGAGAGTGCCCAGCTGATCTGCAGTTTGATGTGGCACCCAGACTCACCTCAAGTCAGCTGAAACATCCCCAAACTCTTTTTTGTAAACTCTGGCACAGCCTGCAACACACCTGTTATGGGGTTTTGGGCAAAACCCAGGGAAAACATCGTGGCTTTGCAAAATTTACCCCAGAGCAAAATTTAGTGGTTTTAGCTAGTTCAGAATRTGTTGCTGGCTTTTCTGTTACCAGAAAATAAAGGGAAACCCATMGAGTAAAAGTCCATCAACTTATGGAGAAAAATTTACCCTGGCACCCCTTCTGCCCCATAGTGACTCATGCATTTTAARATAAACCAGCATTGGGAAAGCAAGAATCACCATTTGGGGACTAAAACYACCCCACAGTAAACAGGTTTCACTTAATTACACACCAAGGTGCATCAACAAAACTGGCAGCATTCAGCTGTCATCATTCCATGCAAATTCAGCACATAATTTTTTCCTCCTCACTTTAAAAGTATTAGAGTTCTTATCCACTCCTTTTCTGTGAGGCTTAGTGCTCTATAATTAGAGTACATCYTTTATTAATTATTCAGGGATGGTAATTAACACACTCAAAGCCACTCCAACCACAGTCATCCCAAATCTCACCATGTTCCCATAGACTGTCCTTAATGATCTTGCTTTATATTATTCTTTGCGAGCTGCAAGGTGTGCAAATTAATTTGGAAGGAAGGGACTAAGAGACACCCACACATTCTACTGGTGCTGCAGGGAAGCTGCAAAGCAAGCACTGAGAAATGCAAGCTGCTCTAGAAAAGCCTAAATATGAAAAGTACCACAAATGCTATTAGAATCTACTTAGCATAAAATTTAAAAAAAAATAACAAACCAAAATCCTCAAAACTTAATGGTTTAATCTTGATCATTTGTATTGGCTTTAAATCTTCAGCCTCGTATGTCATGGGTGAAAATACTTTGCCTTCAAAATCCATGTGGTGATAGTGATATATTGGAATAATGGACTAAGGTCTTATTCAGAAAAATCTGTGTATTTCAGGTGAGAAGGAAATTGGAARTGTTGCTTACACTATTTAATAAACTCACTGAAAACCACACCACAGACTGCAGAAATGTATTCCTGCCATAATGTGCCTTAAATGTTTTGGGTTCATGAGTTTGCATTTAAATGCTGCTGTTTGATWCAGAATGGCCTTTGAGTTCTCAGGAGGGACATACCCTTGTTTTAAAACCATAAAAACAGACCTACTTTGGCAGCAGTACCTAAAGTATGATTCTGATCTGCAGAATGACTTCTCAAAATGGCTCCTTTGTATTTTCCAGCTCTGGTTCCCACGTATGTATTGTAACAGATTTCTTTTTTTTATACAAATGAACATGTATTATATATAATTATATATTTTCTAACTATTTTTCCCATTTCATCACTGTCAGGATTAGAATATGAGAGCTGACCTTWACTCTGCATTATCAAGTGAATTGTTCCTTTCATACCTCTGTAGGCTGCAATATCCCTGTTAGCAGAAGTCACTCCCAGMCAAACCAAACAGATTCAGATTTCAGCAGTTCTTCAGGAGTGCATCTGTAAAACTGTGTTATGTAAATCACTTGGGCACAGACCTGAAACATCTGAAGATGCCATTTTCATAGTCTATTTACAGAGCAGAACAACATTCTTCYAGATTACAGATGTGTTTTCTTTTGCCAAACAGTCCTTGAAAGCGAGGGACAGAAAACAAATGCTTTTGTTCATCTCAGTTTTTCTAGGAATTCATGGCTGCCACAAGAGCCAGGTAGTTGTGTGCAATGCTGCCCTWAAAAAGTGGCCTTTTTAGGCAAAAAACCTAAAAAGGCTGCTGGATGCAACAGGAGATGACCACTGGTTTTACACCATGCCCTCCTGGACACCGGGATCGGCAGTCTAATGACACACTTCCACCCTATTCCCATTCAAACGAGCAGAGGTCACAACAAGAAAATACATCCTTGTAATCTTTCCACATAGGACCTTTGCCAACGTAGGTCAGTTTTTCAAGTCAACAACTTGATAATAGAGTTCCTATAATCTTGTCTTTCTCTTGAAAGCTGCAGTGACAAAAAACCCTAGACTGTGACATTAAACAATGTAGCTCTGTGTAAAAAAAAAAAAGTCCCTACTAGTGATCCCACACGAGTGTTTGTTTATTAAGTGTTAGTAAGGTGTGCTACGCTTTATCGAGGTGATGTTGACAGATGGGAGTGTTGGAGAAAGTACCTTCAGTCCAAGCCAGTAAGCCCAAATGACTGCCACAGCATGCTTACGCCTAGCCTCCTCCTTCAAGCGTTTCAACTCCCTCCGAGCCTAAAGGGTTCAGAGAGTCAACAAAAGAGACAGCACAAGGACCAGGAACCGCCTCTCCCACACCAAACAACCAGCAGGGAAAAGGATGGAGCGGCAGCGCTCGAGCTTTCACATCCAACACCTCGGGGTGGGTTGGGGTGAAGGCATACGGAAGACAAACGAGCCTCTGCTGCTGCCAAAGTGCCATGGACAGGTGGGAATTCTGTCAACCTTTCCTCCTCTTCTGTGCACTCATCCCATCATTGATTCTAATGGGAGAGCTTTGCCTGATCAAAATTATGATCAAAGTTTCCTGATCAAAATGATGCCTATGAAAWTCAAGAGTTCCTGAAATCTCACCAGCTAGTCATTTCTTCCACTGGCAAGTGCCTGGGCAGGACAGAAGCAGCTCTGAAACTATGTGTCATGATGATTCTCCAGCACTGTAATGAGGTCTTTTATTCAGAAGGTTATTTTTTATTTTGTTCTGTATGTATTCACAAAAAAAATTAAAATTCTCCAGCCTGGTAAATTATGTCTGTCTGTGGAATTAAGGGGTAAAGCCATCAAACCTAGAGCATTCCTCACGTACACAGRCAGAGGCACCTTCCTACCTTTCATYAATCATTCCATTTCWGGRAAGCAATTTGAGGCATGCAGCTTAACAGAATGTCRTATTTTAGGAGATACCAGCCCATTTTTTATTGGGTTATCTGATGACAAGGTTCAAGGAGGAGTTCCAGTGTTATGGGCTCAGTCAGGGCAGCTCTGGCCCTGTATCTGCACTTGTGGAGCCCTAAATTATCAGCCTTGAGCAGCCTGTGCCAGTTACGCTCTTCTGGGTTAATGTGCAGTAGATGAAAACTCAAAGATTATGTCTTCACTCATCTGCTGGGCACAAAAGCTCCTACTGMACAGCAGTGTAAAAGAACTATGCAAAGCTAAGTATTTTTGTGTCTTGTGAAAAGGAAGGAAGCTGAGTACTTGAGGCTTGCTCTGGTTTTATTTTTTTGTTTGTTTGGGGTTTCTTTGGTACAGCAAGAGGCTTCTGATRATAACTTTTAGAAACTTTTGTTCTAAATATTCCCCCAGGAAAAGATAAAAGATCACACCAATAAAAAGTTGCYTCTCTCATCAGAGACTGTAATTATTTTTCTAATCTTAATTCTATTTAGATTATTATCTTTATATGCATATATATTATTTAGATTATGTATATGCAAGGAATAAGGAGACAATTTTTCACTAAATTCYTGTGAGCCAGTTGATAAAAATAACTACTAAACCATGTTAAAAATTATCCAAATCTACTAAACRTTTAAATGAGGAACTTTAACATAGTTAACACTATTGAATCCACTGGGTGTATCTTTTAATTTTAAGGAATATCTTAAAACTAGGAAAACCAGTATCTCTTCTGCAGTAGGAACAACCCTATGAGTGGTTTTTCGGTGAAAGGAACTCTGATTAAAAATAACATAAATCCTCAATGTATTGTGCTCAAACAAATGCAGAAGAAACTGTGTGTCTATCAAACTATACCTAAATATCAAGCTAGAATTGAAAATTTCTGAAGACTCCAGGGTACGAAGGAAATTCTGTATGTGTATTTTTTTTTTTTATTCCTAGGGCTGCCATTTTGCTAGAAATCAATTCGATTTATATCAAAATAGCAAAGATCAAACCCAGCATTATATTCCATATGTAATTTGAGCATTTTTCCCCATCCAGGTAGCACGGTATTCTGACAACACAACCCAACATAAATGATAACTCCAAAATGTTTAAAATCTGATGTATTTATGGTTTTCAACTAAATTAGGAATTTATTAATTGAAACCAATACATTTTTGACCTCTAGTGAGCAGCATTTCAAATGTTCACATAGCCCACAACTGCAGGCTGGGGATTAGCAAGAATCTTTCAGTGGGACTTTGCTTCTGAAAACAAACAGCTGATGCTGGAATTCCTGGGATTTTTCTAGGGCTGTAAGTTTAGAATTGCAAACTAACATCATTTTCTGCTAAAAGATCAGCTCATAAAATTGTGCTTTACTTGTACTTATTGAATTCTTGTCAGTGGTTCAAATCACAGCCAGAGAATCAATTAATCCAATTATAATGAGAATTTAATGAAACTCAGTAATGTTGGTTTGAACTTGYAGAGGAAGACTGTCCAGGGCACGGATTATAATATGTGGTGAAAATGTCAAGTGGATCACTAACACAGTGTCACCAAAAGCACTTGTTGGGGACRTGGGGAGGAACACACCAAAAAACCCCCAACCTTCTCTCCCCCCACAAACCATGCTTTGCATATGCACATGTAGTTAAATGCACTTCCTAATTTGAGAATACTGCAGTCCAGTCATTTTTAATCTAATGGCTTGTTAGTGCAWATCTGTACTTGGTTGCCATGCAAAGAATTTCCTACTCTACAAAAAAAACTGGCATACACAATGCTATCAGATTTATTAGGTGTGGCATGAATGGAAATGGAAGGAATCGATGATCATGCTCTATTATTTAGGAGTGAACTGTATTAGTCATTAATTCTCACCATGAAACAGYGATTAAATGTTGATGTTGTTGGGTGATGAAGGGGGGCATGTGATATGTGCATGAAGTACCTTATATCCAAGCCAGAAAGCCCAAATAACAGCAATAGCATGTATATTTCTAGCCTTGTCTTTCAGTCGTCTCAGTTCCCTTCGTGCCTGTGATGCATTTGAAAAGGGGATATAGAGAAGCTTAGGGAAGAAAAGGTTACTGCAAGTTCCCATTGGTGCAAGAAAGAAGGAAARGAACCAGTCACTACAAACAGCAAATATTAAAGCGTGTCCCAGCTTCCCACATTGCACCAGCTGCGACATGTTAGCAGCAAAGAGAAACCAAAAACACAGTTTAGGCAGTAAAAGCAGTTTAAGCCCCTGACAATATTCCCAGATAACTATCCTGAGGGACCTTCTTTGTTCCATGTAGGGACACAAAAGTGCACAGTTTGCTGCCATTTCTTACCTGGGTGCCATGCCAATAAGCAGCAATTACCGTGGCAGCCTCATTGCAACGCTTCAGGTGCTTAAGCTCACGGAGTTGCTGCCGGGCCTGTAAACAATTTAAAACATTTTTCAATACCAAATTTTTATGGYTCTTGAACTAGGGCACTGCAACCTGTAAATCTAGGCAAAACCAAAAAAACACTGCCTCCAGATCYCCAAGCAAATGCGTTCACAAATGCTGCCCAGCCTAAATCTGCTGTTCCAGGGAGGATTCTACACAGCAAGAGCTTGGGACTGGCAGGTCAGGGGATCTTGGTTCACTGTTCAGTTTTCTCCCAGATTTGCTGTGTTGCCAGAGACATCTCTATGTCTTTTTGCACCATGGCAACAATATTTTTTTTCTCCACACGGTAAATGTTTTATCCATTTAGAGTGCAATAAAGAATAAATCACAGGTAAATTGCCTGGCTTTAGGTCAYACTAAAGGCTGCTGTCACAACAGGCTTTCAAGCACGGTCATACTACTGCAAAAGAGCTTGTTCTCCAATGGCAAACAGAAAACCATAACTTGAGATGATGCTTTTAACCCAGTTTTCTTCAAATAACGCTCATGGGAAAAGACAGCACATCGTTAGACAGAAAAGATTTTTTTTTTAACCCATTTGAACAAAATAACAAAGTAAAAATCGAGAAAAATAGCAAAATCTAATTAGGTTACCTTATTGCTGGCAAACTTTAAAGCCTTCTGGGCAGGAGAGGGCTATTTACACCAATAGCTACTAACCTGCACCCCCTTCCATCCCTGTCTCACAGAGAGGGAACTGACTCCAGCACTAAAGGCAGCTGTTCCCTAACTAGTGGGGAAAGCTGCCTTTAGCAGGGTGAAGAAAAGTTAATGAGAAAACAGAGGAGCCCAGGGTTACWTTTTCTGAAGATGGACAGCAGTAGTTGCTTCAAGCATCATGGCTGCTTTCATGTGAGGTGTTGACCTCGTTTTTACCTCTTACTAAAGCATCACTCCTTAAATATCTACCAGAATGCATGACTATCCCTTCACAAAGCACAAACCTCCCAGAGAAACAGTGAAGTTGTGGCAAATTGAGGCAGGGTACAAGCAATGAACTATGTGCTCAACACAAGTACATTTTCACTCCTCTGCTTGGCAGACAGAGGAGAATTGAAGACTTAATCCAAGCAACGAATTGCYCAGGCAACCCAAACTCTTTATTTTAATCCTGATTTCAATTTTATTCATTCTCTGAGAATCTATAAAATAACCACCAACCACAACTTGTTTCTTCCAAATCAGTCCAGGGCTATAGTTTTCCTAAGCATCCCGCTCTGGAGCTGCTGCCCTGCCTGATCAACACAGACCCAGGTCTGCTCTGCTCACCACCCTCACTCATTCACTCCAGCCCATGTCAAGAGGCCTCCTACCTTCAAATTCCCTGGCAGAAGATGCCACCAGGGTCACCCAGCAGTTGAGTGTGGTCCCAGCATTACATTTGCCCCATTTGCAGGGATTTCTAGCTCAGGCAGCATGTGCAGATAACCTGAACTCACCTCTTCCACGAGCATTCAACAATGGCTGTGGCATGGCCACAGCTCCGTGGAGASAAGGCATGGAAGGCTAAGCACTCTTGGAACGTTTTTTCTGACCTGCTCCTTGCCTCAGCACACAGAGGCAGCCACAGTGATGGGAAACTCACCTTCCACCCTCTGATGTACGACTGGACTGTAACAGCTGAGCTCTTTATCTTCTCGTATCTTTTTTGTTGCTGTATTGGAAATAAATATGTGATGCTTAGAACAGAATATTACATCTGTTAAACATGGCATAATAACCCTTTCAATACTAGCATTTGACAACATGCTTGAGGAGACAAGCACTAAAGGTAAAAAGTGCACAATTTTTGACTGAGCAGATCAGTGTGTAGATTCTGTGTTCAACTCGAGGGGAAACAAAGCACATCAACAATGCTGYACAGACAATGTCACTCTGTTTACAGAAACACTAAGTTCATGGTCAGCAGCACAAATGCAGATTAAATGCTAACAGTAAGAGCTTTATTTGTCTTTCCCACCACCAGAGTAGCACACTGTCACAAATGCTCAGGTTTGTTGGCTAAGCTTTTTACCACCTTTTCATAAGACATGTGCTGTGCATATTACCCACAGTGCCTTTAGTATACCAAATGCTGGTGATAACTCAGAAAAAGGAAAAAAAAACCCCAAAAATATGGATTCCTGAGCTGCTGGAGTATTATTTAAGCATGCCAGTTTGAAAAATAAATTTTCCTGCAGAGCCGAGCATTCTCCTTCTGAAAAGCTCAGTTCTTCAGCAGGCCAGCATTTAGTATAATACTAAGTTGACAGACTTTGCAACAGGGCCTTTGGAGTTGACACTCAGCCCACTCAGTGCCAGTGAACATCTCTGTGAGCAAGCCAGGGAGGGTCCTGTCTGGGCCACTTTCCTGCCACTGCTGCCATCTGTCACACCTTGCAACAGACAGAAAAGTGCCTGTAGATCCTAGAGCCAAGCCTCCAGCTCAAGGAGCTGCTCAAAAAAGCTTTAATCATGCAAGGGATTTGTGATGAAACCTTCCAAAGCACAGAGCCTACCAGCCATGTTGGTTTAGGAGAACGGTGCCTTCCATCTGCACAAAGAGGCTGAGGAATCATCTCTGTCATCACCCACAATTAATAAAACAACTGTCATGTGACCCAATTAAGGTTTACAGTTCAGAAATCAGCAGTTCTTGGTCATGTACTTGTTTTCATTTCTTGATGTTTAAAGRTGTGCCAATCTAGCTGCAGTAAGYCCGTTTTAAATTCATTAAGGTTGTSTGARATCRTAACRAAGCCACGTGGGCACAACRCAATTCYGTAATGATGCAGTTTRCACAMACAGTGCCTTCAGYCACACAGGTTCAGAGAGAAGAGTTTTTGCAGTAAAAAAACCATACTTCAGTCATATTTTTTCCAAATTATCCACACTTCCCTCTAATTATCCACGAGAAGTGAACCAAACACTGATGGCTTTCAAGAGGACAAACAGAAGTGCTTGTCAACTGAAAAACAGGCATTTGTCAACTCTGCAACTTGCAATTTAAGATTTTCTTTCTATATTTCATCAAGGCTTCTGATATGCTTGTGCTATTCTCTAGCAACAACAAAACACAGCTGAAATGTTCAAGAACAGTTTTAAAAACAAATAAATCTTTTTTATCACCTAAGTCAATATTATTTACTGYCAAGAATACACAAAAGAGTCATATAATGGTGCTGTTCAGCTYGTGGCACAGAACTTCCAGTTCACAGACAGATCTGAAACTGCTCTAGAACGAATTGTATCAGTAATGRTACTGAATTACGAGTCTTAGGAGTTGTAATTAAAACAAACTCCCAGGGTCCTCCCAGGCAGCATTCTTGAGTCCAAGGCAAAGGTTCCAAATAAGGCAAAAACACAAAAAAGCTCAGGAATGACTGAATTCCACAGAACAGCACATGTACATTACTGAACATTTTTTACACATTAACCATATGTTTTAAAAGCACTGTAAATGTCAGGAGCACAGCATTTTAGCTGAATTAAAAAAAAAAACAAACTCTTTCCAGCTGGGCCACAGAAGCCTGCTCTTCCAGAGCAAAAGGACTCTGGTGAGCTTTTTAATTGTTTAAGGGCAAGCACACTGCAAGCACTTAATAGTAGCCGACAGAAACTAAATTTTCTTTATTCATACTATCTGTACTCAAATATTAACATAAAACTCGATTCTTTCAACAGCTCTTGGTGCACATTGAGGAAAAATATCCTATGAAGGTTCTCTGCATTAAACACTGAAGAGAAGCCCCCATTTAGTAAGGACAGTATCTTACTGCGAATCTCCTGTACCAGGAAGCAATCACAATCTGGCATCTTTTCATCAGCAGGAAGCGAGTACGGCACTTCCAGCCTCTATAAATCTTCCCAATGAGGGTAGCCAAGTCCTCCAAACGCTGCTTTCTCAGGTCCTCTAATTTGAAGAGCTGGGTGTGGAGAGGTTTTAGGGTTTTGTTTGACATCAGAAGAAAAACAGTAGAAGAGAAGAGACAAGGAAACAAAATGGTAAGCACAGCTCTTGGAAGAGAAATCTCTTCTTTACTGAAACCCCCCCATACACACATTGTTTTATTCATCTCCAGAGCGACAGGCAGATGCACCAAAAAATTTGTGGCAGATTCACTGTCGCAAGCCAGCACTCAAAAATTACATTAGATTAAAGCTGGCAGCTATTGTAGAATCTTGATTCACATCGATTTTAATGGGTCTAACATTAAAAAGTGCCTTTTTTAATACTACATTCCCAGCAATATGTCAGAGCACTGCACGTAGAAAAATCTGCAGGAATCACGTAGTGAATGATGCAGCTCAGAGCAGGCTGCCCTCATGAGASAGGGCTTGACTTTGCAGGAGGGATTTTTTACTTACTGTTCTTGGGTTGCGGATGAATATCTTTGATCTACCGAACGAAAATTCCTCTTCGGGGATTTGCAATTCATTAAACAGCACCTCCACTCCATCCCTAAGAAGGAGTAAATGAGCTTAACAAACATGACCCCCAGCTCTAAAACTTCTTAGTTTACATACTCACAGCTCAATTTATGAAAAGTATATGAAAGCATATTTTAAACTTTTAAATAGTGCTCGACATAAGAAGATTGCAAACCTAACTCATTTACTCATTGGTTATTCAGCTAAAGGCAAGAATAATCACTGTAAAAATTCAGAATAATTTGATAAAAAAAGAGCAAATTTTATTTTACAGCATCAGCAATGGCCTATTTTTTCCTCTTTCTTCTATAATTATTTTACTTTAAAAAAGGAAAAAGGAAGGGCTCTCACACTAATGTGAAAATGTGGAACAAAGACTGAYGAGTTTGACAAAGGTCTGTGCTCCACTCTTACCAAATGCATTTTATGAACATCAACAGAAAAAGGAGAGAGGAACTGTGCAGATCTTTGTGATGATTATTGCAATGCTATTGTTAGCAATACTACACTTCTGTAATTATCCTGATAACCTAAAGACTTAAATTATAGCTAAAATATGTTAATCTATTATGAAAGATATTTAAATCATACTATTGGTGGTCACAYGTAAAAAGAAACAATAGAAGCTTATTTGCCCATCCCAGACATTATTTGCAAAAATCCATGTGAACACCACGCAATTTAACAGTATATATTGAACACAATTGATTTGCAAGAGGTGTTATCTCATAATCATTCTCCAATTATTATGTACTCTTCCAAGGGCAGAGGAAGATTGTGTGGCTGCCTTCAACAAAATGAGGGTTCTTACACTTTGAAAACTGGTTATTAAAAGTAAGTGCCCTCCTGATCATTCCAGACCTCCCAGTAATTTTGAATCCACTGCAGTCTCTCTCTCTCTTACACCCTTTCCTTCAGACCCAAATCAGTCCAGGCTGCAATATAAACCTTCTGCATCTCATGCAAAACAAATCAAAAATCAGGACACGTGGGAGACCAGAATTTCCCTCAGGACAGGTAGGAACACTGCTGCTCGCTTACCTGGCTGGCCCTTTCCAGTGGGGCCACGTCTGCTTGCAGAGCATTTTGTACCTCTCCAGGCAGGGCTCGTAGGGCTGTCGGAAGGCGTAGCCCGCCCTSCGCACCCGCACGTTCTCCAGCAGCCCCAGGTAGCGGATCTGGTGGCACACCAGGGCTTCGTTGAAAACTTGTGCAGCCTTTTTGTCATTGGGTTTGATGCACCTGGAAAGGAAAACCAAAAGGGACATCTCTGCACCAACTATTACGGTGAGTTTCAATCGTAGATTTCAACAGTTGATCCTTGGATAGCAAGGTTTCTTGTTTATAACTACACCAAACAAATTCACCGAAGCTTTGCCACTAGGGAGTTTACCTGATATAGTTTGGATTTTTTGTCTGGAGGTTTTTCATCAGYGTAGCAACTGAAGCCTTGAACTGTGAACCAGCCGTTGGGGGTCTCTTTAGATTGATCTTTGCAGGGTTTCCTTCTGGGAACARTGCTTTGATAAGGGAGTGGCTGGCCTTCCACATGGCCTGGGAGAGGTCGCGGTACAGAAGATCATTGTTTTTGTCAACAAATCCTTCCACCTGGTACATAACCTGAACAACAGAGAAGAGTCCATCAGGGCAGGGTTTKAACTACAACATAGACCAGTTCAAAATTGACCCAAGAAATTGATTTCTTCTTCTTATGTGCTATCCAAAACAAATGAAAGAGATATCAGCTTTCGTTTTAAATCTGTCATTTGGATGATTTTTGTTGGACACAATTTCTACCCGAACATGCTACCTGAGAAAGATGCACTTTCTCACACTGCCAACAGTTCCCTGTGTTGATCAATTTTGGATTTTGAAGTGGAAGAACCTCTTTTTCCATGACAACTCTGACACACCACCACCTGCCAAAACTCCAAAGCGATCTTTTTTTTTTTTTTTTGTCTGATGAGGTTGTCATCCTCTCTTTTGAATCAAAACAGCAAAAATACCCTTTCCCTTCAAAGTACTAATGCTTACATTATTTGCCTAACTAAAACAAGACATGGAATATCACCTCTTGCTATCGCAGTGCAAGCAGCAAGCTGTGCAGCCCCCAGGAGACTGCTGTTTTAAAGGATTTTTACCAGGAAAGCAATCCAACAACAACAAGCACGAGTACCAAGCTCTGACCTGCAGCTGGGTGCCCAAAGGCAGCCAGAGGAACTTCATGCAGATCTCAGACCGCTACTGACTTTTTTAATTTTTGAGGGTAGGGAACTTATTTAATTAACTGTGACAAGTCATCTGGTTGGTAATGCAGATTCTTCCTCAGATGCATGATTTYTCAGGTCTACATATTCTATGTACACAGAATACTGAGGGAAAATAGTACTGACACATGTTTTACACAACAGCAGGTTACTGGGAACTCAGGCAAGCATTTTACTCTGAACAACGTGTTTTTGGTTCTGACAGGTGCAGCAAATGCCACTGCAGAAAAGAACCACAACTGTTCGCATGAAATGACTTATTTTTCAAAAAAGGAGGGTCAAACTTTTGTTGACCAGTGACAAGATCAAAATGTTCTCAGCTGAGGATGGAAAAACAACATTCCTCCCAAAATAGGAGGAATTCACTCTGCTGGGTAAGTGAATGCCTGTAACAACCACAGACCCTCACTGGCTGCTAAGACACAATCTGTGCACACTCCTTYTCAAAGTACTGGGGTGTTCTCAATTCACTTCCATTTTTGACAACCAAAGAAATACCTAGGTATTAATCCCTGATAGATTACATGCAGTTACAAACTCTTCTTGGCAAATAATGTTAGGTTAGTGAATGGCTGCCTGAAAGGCTGATAATTTATAGGGCTATTTTGAATGAGAAAATTATTGAGCTATTCAAAAGTATAAGATTGAGAAAATTTTAAAAAACATGAAGCAGTCCTAGGGAAATAAAGAATATTTGGAAAATGTTTTATTGTGTGAAATTATCACTTCAGCAGAATCAGACAAGAGGCATAGCTTCAACCCTATATACACTTCTAATTTTTTTTAAACAGTCTTCACTCTACAAATTTAATTATTTGTGTTTTCATTAATAAAAAGTCATACTGGATGAAAAAGCTGTCAGACTTGTTTTTATTCATACAGCTTATGCTGTAAAATGCAAATACATTTGCAAGCCCTCTGTACAGCTTTCTCTTCCATCTGTTTAAACACAGAGTATCAAACTCAGTTCCTTCAAATATACAAAACTGCATTTTCTCAACAACATGACTAAGGACTGCAGCTAGTTCGGTGACAAAGAATGTTTTCCAGAATATGATGCCTACAAATGTGCGTGAAGTTTTGTCACGGTGAGCAATGATTTACTTCCAGAGAGGCAACAGCAGCACCAAAGCATGTGGGGCATTTTTCCTCTTTGGTRAAAGGAGAGCTGCCCTTGATTTCAGCCAGAGCAGCAGGACTTTGGACAAGGGCATGTAGTGCCAGGACAAGGGGGAATGGCTTCACAGTGACAGAGAGCAGGTTTAGATTAAATAGCAGGAAGGAATTGTTCCCTGTGAGGGTGGTGTGGCCCTGGCACAGGCTGCCCAGAGATGCCGTGGCTGCCCCATTCCTGGAAGTGTCCAAGGCAAGGTTGGATGGGGCTCTGGACACCAGGTACAACCTGGTCTGGTGTAAAGCATCCCCTGCCCATGGCAGGCCTGGAACCAGATGATATTTAAGGTCCCTTCCAACAAAAACCATTCTGTGAACCTTTAAAAACCTTCCAGCCCAAAACACAAATTTTAGGCTTAAGACAGAAAAGATTAGGACAAGCCTGGATTTTTAATCAGCCGCAGCAGCCCCCACAGCCCACGTGCTCCCTTGACCAGGTACCTTGCCAGCGTAATGCTGAATCCTGAAGCAGCTGTGGGGCAGGGAGGTGTCGTTGAGGAACCGGGAGCACTTGCTCATCCTGCTCTCAAAATGCTGGTGAGTGGCGCACACCTGGTTCAGCTTTTCTAAAAAGGTGTCGTCGGTMACAGTTCCTGGTCTCAGGCACTCTTCGTCCAGCATGGCCAGGATTCCAGTTTGGTTCTGAAGTTCCAAAACAAGAGCTTTAGTACTTGTTCCCATCCTATTCCATCATGGAATGAAATGGAGACCGTTCTCCTGTTTGACTTTTGCCATCCAGAAAAACATTCTCCAAGCCATCTCAAAGTCTGGCTCTTTTTACCTCATGACCATTTCCAACTGATTTTTAGCACTTGCATTTTTGAAAGACTTTTAATGAGATCTACATCTTGAAATTCACATTGAAGTTTCMTGTCATTTACTCAGACTGTAGCAACTCCAACTTAACTGAAAGCAGCCAGTTTATGGTAAAACCATCATATATTTTATGTTAATGGTTAAGTGTTCTTTTCTGGTTGTCAAGGAATTTTATCTTTCTTGCTGCACTAAGTACACAGGAAGTCTTATTATTATATATGAGTACTTATATATAAGTACTTTGAGTACCTCAAACACTCAGTAGCATGTCATTGAGTTTTTTAGTTTCCACACAAAAAGGTAATTAAAATGCAGCATGGGATATCTGCTATTGAAAACAGCACATTAAATGTAAACATTYAAGASCTGTTTGAGTTACAATTCTTTTCAYRTAGGTACTGCTGGTTATTTCTACAAAAGTAACATACAGCTTATTAAAAAGTCCTTTTTAGTAAAATAAATTTTTACCATACAAAGTAAGATGAATAATACAAAGAATAGCATGTGTCAACAAAATTCACTGTGTGAGGGTGCAAACAGAATTTACAGTTAAATTTAACCCATGCATTAAAAAATTATCTAAAGGGRTTCTTGAACACAACTTACATTTTCTATTAGGTCACAAATGATAGCATTGTTGAAATATTCAATATGAGTCCATTCAATCCCCTATAAGAAAATATAAATATATAAACAGGAAAACAATGGAGGGAGCTTTTCCTCTAGGAAATTAAAATCATATTCCAGTTAACCACAGCACTACTTTCMAATTTAATTCTGCATGCTTACCAACAATTAATTAATGAAGGAAAAAAAAAATGCAATCATCTACTACCAACATTATCTGCACAAAATGAGTGTCCTTGAGTGGCTGCCAAACTCGTTGTCCATTCCTTTCCCCCACCCATGTCAGCTTCCCATGCACTCCCTGGCACCAGGCCAGGCTCCTCCCGCRCTGCCCACGCTCCCACTGGCCAGAAGGAAATCAGCCCATGTCACTGCAAGCTCCTGAGATCTCAATTTCTAAGTTCTTCATCGTTGGGATTTTTTTAATGGGAGGAAGAAAGAGGGCTAAATTTAGATAAGAGCATTTGAAAAATCCAGTGTCTGACTGTTGTTCAGATGTTCTTAATATCCCAATTTTTGTTGGAACATCAGCAATAAAATTTCCAGGAGGAGATGCCAATGCATCACGAGGTAGCACTGGGTAGGGCAAAGGACTGAGAGAAAGAAAATATTAATTTCATTCTCAGTTTGCACTCTGTGGTACTTCTTACAGTTTACTTTTCTCAGAGCATTTGAAATATCATTCCAGACCCAAATTGCAGTAATGATGGTTCACCACTGAATACAAAATGAAAAAGACATGCTGAAATGCCATGTTACCCTCAGGATCACAAGGCAGGAGCTTTATGTAATATTTTAAAATGTTTATGCAGCAAAATGGTATCATCCAGTCTGAGCACAGACGATGTGTGCCAGCTTTTACAGCTGGGAGCTGGTGTTTTGTCTGAGCTCTGTGTATCATGTGGAGCACTGCTAAAACCTATTAAAACTTTAGCCTGATGTTCACTCACAGAATAACATCAAACACCAGAGGCTGGCCTCCACAGGACATCTTAAATTTATCCATAAAGCTCACAGAGCTCCCTTACCTGAAACAAAASTAGAACCAAAACTCTATTTGTAGTTTTTTCCATGTTGTGTGCTATTATTTTAGCCACCCGACTCCCTTTGAAAACRGACTGGCTGTGGCTGTTCTTGGGGTGCATCCCAGACACTGCTGTGCAATCCAAAACACAGGCTGCAGGGCAATTGCACTGACACCAGACAGTGATATTAATGCTCYAATAAATCAATTAGCCCTTGCTCAGAATGGCCAGTCATTGCCAATGAATGAACCACAGCTAGGTCTAGTTTTTACCTGGAGAACTCATTWTGTGAAGCAAATGCCAAATCAACTTGTTTTGCTTAATTAAAGTACCCCACAGCCCAAACATGCTCCATGACAGTTCTGCAGTCAAAAAGTGACTCTGTTCCCTGAAAAATGGTTGCAGACTGCATGTCTGTGTATCTGTACAGGGACAACAGGAAGAGAATAAGGAAAGCTCCATGCAAGCATTACCTCTCGGATGTACTCCTCCTGCTCTTCTTTGAGGGTAAGTTCAATGAAGATCTGCTGCAACTTCTCATTACAGTAGTTGATAATGAATTGCTCGAAGCTGTTGTCCTGTCARTGGAAACATGTTTGAGTTTGCTTTGTGTAAACAGCCAGGAAGCAGCTGGAGTGAGTTACTGCAGCAGCTGCAGGTCAGCGAGCTGCTGTGTTAACTACTCCTTCCACTTTTGTGATGTGATGGAAATCGATTGAAATCGTGATTAGTGTAGAAATTTTAGACCAAATCCTTCCCTGAGGCTTGGTCCACTGCAAGGCACAAAAGCCTCTGTAGGYTTTATTCATGATGCCCCTGTGCTGATTCCTTCCAACAAGTCMTAAGGACACCTGTGGGGTCAGGGAATAAACAACAAAAGTTTTGCCTGCACCAATCTGTCCCCATATGTAAAATGGAGTCTCCTGCAGGGTCTGATAAACAAAATTATGGCAGTAGCATTAGCTCTTTTGCACTCAGCAGCCCATAAAGTATCCTTTTCCCCTACAGAACGAGGCTCAAGCTGCTATTCCAGTTGCAGCTGAGCCTGGGTTAAGAGATTATTGGATSCAGAGGTCAATCCACCTCCTCCCTGCCAACAAACTGCCCCTTGAAATGATGGGAAACAAAAGAGCTTCATYAACTAAAATCCCTCTAACAGGCTGAATCATCTCAAAGTGGGCTAGGGATCAAGCAGATGTGTGACCCTTTGCAGAAGGGACCGGGGACTGGAGCAGACCCCAGCAGGAGGGGTGGGGACAGGAGGGARGCTCAGGGACTGTCCCATCCCAGGGGAGGGCTGTGACATGACACTCTGCTTTTCTAAACTACCAGATAATCTGCTATACAATACCTGTGAAGCTTAAATTATGACAGAATTTTCATGACATTTAMATGTTTGAATTAAGGATCTGGTTGCTAAATGAGATTAAGAACACRCAAGCAGATTAGAAAATATGGAGGTAGCACAGATTACTTTTATCATTTTAGTTTTAAATGAAGCAAAATCATAGCTGATCACCAAAATTCCTCAGCCACATCAAACTCAGCCCTCTCACCAACTGCAATTATCACTCAGATTGCAAAACTTGCATAGCTCTAGATGAGAGAGTTAAAATTTGGCATGCAGCAAAATCAGCACTGCAAACAAGACATACTTACTGCATTCTGTTRGAAAAGAAATTACACAAACTGCAGTCAGTACTTATACTATTCCATAACAATACAGAATATATCTATTAGCATTTATTTAGCATATCAAGTAGATCAATCTTTGTATCACTGAAAATGCAAAGTACTCCATAAATGTATATTTATTATCTCTTCATTATATCTTTACAGCTGAGCCTATCTTTAAGCACTGTCCAAATATTATCAAATAAACCAGGAGGTTGAGACACATCAGAGTGTAACACAGAGCAGCATTCTTGCTTTGCTGTCTCTAAATCACTATGTACATTTGCCWCTAAAAGCCATATTTATAACCTTGTAATATATAAATCTCAGCAACAGGAGAGGAGAATGGGGAAGGGAATAGAGAATACTGCAGGAAGGATGAATATAAGTTTATTTGACACACTCAGATAAGGCCATCACTTCAGATATATTGAGTTTGAAGTRAAAGGACCCCAACTGTCACACCACCCAGACAAAGAGAAAGGGTAAAACACACTCTGCATCCTCCTGCCAGGCACATGCACCCAACTCACAGAGACTCCTCCAAAAGACCAGGTTATTCTAATTAAAAGGGCTGCAGGACTTTTGGCTCACAAATTATATGGGCTTGGTCATCAGAAGAGGATGGAAGCTGAACAGAAAATCCAGCTAAACCATCTAAATGAAAGGTCATTAACAATACATTAAAGTAATTGCTAGATGCTTTCCTGATTTGCTGTATCTGTGATATTTATGGCTTGCTGAAAAAAAAAAAAGGCAAAATCCACAGAGCTCTCCACAAATCGCTCACTTTGAGCTATGAAATTCTACTTGACATTGCCAAGCCACTGAAAATTGCTGTTCCAGGAAAAAAGTTATTGAAGAGCAGCAGCAATGTTGTTCTTTATGAATGATACAGAGCAAARGGCTAAAACAGTTAATTACAGCAAGGAAGATGAGCGAAAACATTTCAAACTGCTGAAATTCTCAAAACATTTAACTGAGCAGACCAGAAGACATTTGGTAAACCAAATACACTTCAGAAGGAGCTTTTTCCTTGTACAGGTTAAAAAAAMCCATATGAAAAAAACAGTGAGAGTGTTTATCCCTAAGCAATTCTGAGTGAGGCAACAGAGGTCGTGCATTTATTSTCCCTTAATGAACATCTAAGATTTTTAATTATGTGAGGGCTCCACAAAGCATACACAAATGTTCACAAATTAACTGCTCCCTCCAATATTCTAATGAAAGTCTTATAGAAATGACTACAACAGAACTAGGAGGGATCTAAAAGATTTCTGACATTTTTTTTAGAAGGCAGTAGAGAATAACCCATATCAATGACAGCACATCACTAAATCCACTCAGGAGACAGGGGAGGGAGGGATCCAGCCAACAGGGACAACTTGCTCCATATGCTGACCACTGGTATTAAGTGACAGAAAGGGGTTTGACCAACACAAAGGAAGTGCAGTCAGACCCAAAATTTGAGGGAGAGTTGTCAAATATTCTTAGGAAATGTTAAAGGAAAAAAAAAAAAAAAAAAAAAAAAAAAAAAAAAAGAAAAAAAAAAAAAAAAAAAAAAAAAAAAAACAATAAAAAAAAAGACCATATTTTCTCAAGGTGTCAGCTTCTCTTCCAGGCTGCAATTCTGCTACTTTTAATGTTGAGGGCATCACTTCAATCCCTGCATTTTAATAGCAGCTTTCCAACTATGCCTTTGAAAGCACTGTGGAATACAAAATAAAACCTTCAGGGAATATAAAACCACACAGGGTCTCAAATTAAATAAAGGTGCTGGGAAAACAGAATGTCACCTGAGATAGGCTTCAAGTCATGTTGAATTTATAGATACAGCTCAACCAACCACCCTCAGCTTATGCTCAGAATCTYTTATCAGATGCAACACTAAATTTAGAGGAGCAGAAAAATTCACTGACAAAAATCRAAGCCTACTTCACCATCTTTCTCGCTTCACAAATAATGGTGCCTTGTTCATACAGCTTCATTCCTTAGCAGCCTTCAAACTATTAGTCATCAGGGTGGTGTTTCATTCACAGCAAGTTTTGAACTCTAAAAAATTCTTCTCCACACAAAAATGAAGTGATTACGTAGACTAGTTATAAAATTCTACCTGTGAACCACAGCAATTACATACAGGTGCTTGAAATGCCTACAGATAAGTCTTTGTTTCTTCCTATTTTACCTAACTTCTTTGAAAGATTCCACTTGTCATCTGAAAAAAAAACATATATGGTTGTGCCTGACTTTATACATTTTTATACCACTAAAATACCAATGTGAAACAGATAAAAATATTTTAGTCAAGAAAAAAAAAAAAAGGTTAAAAATTTCATACTGGTCTCAGGCAGAAATGGCTCCATTAGATTTATGAACAGAAAATACCTAAAACAGGGAATTTCCCAATCAACGTTAGATACCTTCTAACCTTCTTTCCCCAAATAGAATTCAAATTCACTTTTGAATATCCAGTTTCCAATGATTTCCAAAGATAAGAAGGCAACTAAGATACCTGCTTAAAACTGAAAACTGGTACTTTTCTGTATTAGCAAGCAGGAGTAAATTCTTACCTTCCACCTGMCTGGTAAAGTCTGATTTAAGTGTTCCATGATTTAAGTGTTCTACTGTTTTCCCCAAATTAAGCAGATGTTGTGGATCCAAACATACAGACTCAGGTATATCATCAGTGTCACACCTTTGGAGGTGTTTCTCAATATCTCTTCCYTCTTAACCTTTCAGAACACCATTCTCATTCAGAGCCAATTTAAAATTGTACACATTGCTCAGACTACAACCCCTGACAAAAAGGCGTCCAACACTTTTTCAAATACTTCATACAAACACATATAACTAAAAAAGCATGTGAGATGTATTTCAAGGAAAATCATCTTTTAAAAGAAAACTTTAACATTTCAAGTCATGAGACAGTTGAAATCAACAGGACTGATGTAATTAAAATGAACTTTTACATCAATATGAGAAGGTAAAAAGACATACAGAGGCTGATACTTCTGCTCTATCACATATAGCTCCAGAAAGTAAGTTTTTTTTTTTTTTTTAAATATCAACACAGCTCCAAGCATCAGAAGTTTCTGCCTCCCTACATGAGCAAGTGACCCCAAGTTGTTCCACCAGGCCCTTAGAGAAAAAGCCAGATGGCAAAAGTAATGATGACAAAGCAYCAACAAACTTACTTCACTGAGATGAATGGTGGAATGAAGGGTGAAACCAACCAGCAAATTCAATTTATATGCTACTGTGGTGTCTGGGGATAGSGGGTTTTATGTATGACCACACAAGCATACGAGTTTATGAGATGAAACTAAGGAATATAAATGCTAGGAAGTGAAAATGAACAAAATGGCAAAATTGCATTTAAAGAAAATGAAAAAAGATACTATTTCAATCTCAGAAAGCAATGACCCAGTTACAACATGACTCAGTGGTAACAATTTTTTAATTTTTTTTGCAAATTTAGTAAAGGCATGTGGTCAATATTTATCCCTTTATTTTCTGTTTACATATACAAACATTTCAGCAATCAAGCTTATTTCCTGTAARCTAGACTGCTCTGTGCTTTTGTGTAAATATCTCTATAGGCAAAGAACCAGAGAAGCACATCYTTTAATTATAAATATTCCACTATATGTAATTAAACCGTGTTTCAATGCAGCTCATAKAAGCAAGAAAGATACATGAAGCTTCAGGGATTATTATCCAATTTTTGTATTTGTGTAGCTCACCAACTTCAGCCCTTAGTGTGTGCCAGGTAGAGAACCAAGCACTCTGAAATCCATCTGGCTCCCAGCTGTGCTGTCCAGGTCAGAACCAAATTTGGACTTAAAAGGGTGARAAAGCACAGTGAACCCATGTGGGATTCATGGCAAAACCCAGGTACAATCAC